GTATTTATGATAAAAACCATGAGGGAAGGCCTGATGAAGCGCCTGATGAAGACTTATCAGCTACCATCTTTGTAAGATCAAGGGTCAGGAGCTGAGAGTAAGCTAGGCTGGAAACCAGGGAGTCATTTTCATGCCTCCCTCGTCTCCCTCTCACCTGACCCTCAAGCCATCTCTGCGTGCTATCCCTTCTCCCCTGAATCAGTCTTGGGTTCACCCAGCCCTCTACGTCACTAGCCACCTCTCTAACCCAAACCACCACCAGCCCTCACCAGAGAGAGCAATCGCCTCCCCTGTGTCCTCCTTGCTCTGTCTCTTGCCCCTTCCAATCCTTATACTCACAGCCTGGATGGGAAGGCCCGCGGGGAGCCAGGGCAGCCCGGGAATTCCTCTTTAAAATTCTGTAGGAGTGCACACCTCTTCTCTGTCTCAGGACTTGGACTGCATCTCCTCGCTAACTTCTACTTGTACTTCAGTTCTTTGCTTAAATGCCACTTGCTCCACCCTGCCAACGTAAATCTGATGCATCTGATAGCTTTTACTCATTAAATGTATTACTGTCCCTCTAGAGCACTGTTTTCCAATGATGCATTTATTTGCGGAATTACTTACTTATTTGCAGTTTGTTTTATCGCTCCCACTGGAGCCCCTTGAGAGCAAGAACGGGCGCTGTCTGCTTTTCTGCTATATCACCAGGTCCTAGCTCAATGCCTGCTTATAGCAGATGCTCAAAAATATTCGTTGAATAAATGAATGACCAAGCCCCCTGACTTGCAGGCAGCCTCTGGGAAGACAAAAAGTTTCATCTTAAGTCAAAACTCCCACTTGTCTGGGGCCAGGACACCTGAGTTGTGGCCCTGGCTCTGCCACTCACTTGCTGTGTGACCCTGGGCAAGTCAATTCCCCTCTCTGGGACTCAGTGTGTTCATCTATGAAATGCAGGGTTGGTCTGAACCAGGACCATGGTGAGCTTAAAGTGGTATACGACGCTGTGTGTTTGTGTGGTGGCTGATCGTGTATGCGTGTATGTGCATGCATGTGTATACATATATATACACACTTCCCTAGCAAGAACATCCATAGCTTTCATCAGATTCTCAGAGGGATCTGTGACCTCAAAAGGTTCAGAACCACTAACCAGGATTTGTTCCAGCTCTAGAGATCTATGATTCTACATAACTAGGAAGAGAGAAAGACACTGTGATTCAACCCATAGCTAGAGGGAGTCAGATTAGACCCCAGAACTTAGAAGACCCCACAACAGATATGCAGGGGAGGCCTCAGGACCTGACCCCCCAGGAACTCCTAAACTCAATAGGCTCTGAGCTGGGAGAAACAGAGAGGCCAGCCAACCTCACCCCAGGGATTGGCTTTGGCAGGCAGAAGGTAGAAATAGCCCAGAACCTCCTCCTCTCTGCTCCTGACACCACCCAACAAGCACCCACTTGTCCTGGGATACGGTGGAGAGCACGGAGGTGAGGCTGGCACCTGGAGATGCCTGCCAGGCCCCTTGGCGCCCAGGTCAGAGAAGGTTTGGCAGGAATTCTCAAGAGGGGGTGCCAAGCCCCACCCTTCCTTCTCTCAAAGGTGGAGGGCTGGCGTTTGGGACCAAAGGAGGGCTCTGAGTGCAGGGCAATTGTGGGAGGCTGCAGGGATTCCTGAGGGGTGCAGGGTACACCTCCAGGCACTGATAGTCCAGATCTGGGCTCAAAGGCATGGAGGTCAAGGCAGGCAGCCATCCTCCAAGTGAAGAGGGGGAGCAGACCCCAAAATTGGGCGAGGGGAGGAGAGTGGCATGGGCAATGGGGGCCAGGGGGGACGAGGCAGCCTGGCAGAGAATAGATGGCAGTGTGATGTGAACAGAGGACAGGCTGCTCGGGGACAGGCGGGGGCAGCATGGCAGGGGAAATGGGCAGCATGGTCTCCCTGGAGGGGGAGGAGAACAGTGGGGCTGGGATGGAGGCACAGAAGCTTGGTCAATGGAATAGGGGGTGACATGGTCTGTGGCAGTGGGAGGGCAGCATGACCCATGTCAGGAAAAGTGGCATGTCTGTGGCAAGAGTGTCAATAGAAGTGCCTTGGCCGAGAGCCCAGATGCCTAGTAGCTTCTCCACCCTGACTCCTGAGCAGGAGTAAGCACCCAGGAGATGTTTATCTGCCACAAGAACGCGCGGATCACACCTCCTCCAGTGAGGGCCCAGGTGAGAAGCCACCCAGCTGCCATTTCCTGGGTCACTGACATCTCCTGAGAGTTGCAGTGTGAATGGGGGGCCTAGGGAGGGGAGAGAGCAGCCAGCAACAGCATCGCCAGCTGGAGCCAGCGCCAGGGGGGGCAGGGGACAGGGCAGGGATCACGTTGTATCCGTGTAGATAAAGGAGGGGTGAGTCATGGGCGAGCACCAGGCTCTCTCAAGAGGCCGCTCAGAAACCAGCTCATCCGAATGCAGACAGACGCTCGTCCCCATCCCTGTCCCTGTTGCTGTCACACATACTTGCACACACACTTCTCCCCATCCTTATATCCTCTCCTTGCTCATTGGCCCCTCCCTCCATCTCAGTCCTGACCACCTGTTCCTGTCCCTGTCAACCCTCAAGTGGGAGCCCACTGCATGTCAAAGCTGGCCGGTGGGGGGGGGCAGTGGAGGGGAGGCAAGAATAGAGAAGGAATGCAGGAGAGCTACCAACATGCCTACGTCCTAGAATAAAACCAGAGACCAAAGAAGGCTTGGGGACAAAACTGAGAAGTGGGAGAGAAAACTAGGAGCTAGATGGTCTGGGCCTCCACGGGCGCTACCAAGTCTGAGGGGTGGGTGCTGTCAGCAAGAATCTGGGCCCCCAGGGGTCCAAGGTTCCGCCCACAGTCCTCTGCGGCAACTGGTAAACACCAGGAAATGAGTTCCAACTGCTAGAGAGAAAACTAAGGTTGGTAGAACTCTGGTGAAGAAGGGTCTGAGACAGAAACAGACAAGGGAGGGAGACTGTGAATTCATCTCCCCCTGAAACCTTCAAGAACAGAGAGTTCATGAGGCTGTGAGGCAGGGGAGGAGCCCTGATGACCTCTGGAGGGGCCCTAAGTCCAGGGGTTCTGCAATGTCAACCCCCTTGCCCCGGACACTCTGCCCCTTTGCCAAGACCAAGAAGCAGGTAGTTGGGGTGCCTAGCCCATATCCTAGGCCCCCCACCCCAGGGCCCTAAGCTAGGCTCAAGTCTTCACCAGAATCACACCTGCGACCCCAGACACTGTGAGGCCTTAGGCAACAACTGCACCCCACCAAGCCTGTCCCTCACCAGGGTGATGGCTGGGGATAGAGGCTGGGAAGGCTGGAGAATTCAGTTTACAAGTGTCCAGCACCATGTCTGACACTATGGAGTGTAACCACAAATATGCCATGATCTGAACCTTGGAGGGGAGTCCAGTCAAGTGGGGCAGATGGGTCCCTTGGGCACACACACACCTGCCTTCACTGGCTGCCACTGAGCAGTGGGGGACTGGGATGTGCCCCTAGGATGGGTGCATTTTGAGTCACCGCATCTCTTCAACCCCACTGTGTGCCCCAGGCAGAGGGCTGTAAGATGCCAGCATAAACCAGACCCCAACATAGCAAATATGTTTTAAGAGGTGGCACCTTGCCAGCCCCCAAATGGGGACCCTGGAGCAGGGTATCCAGCCCCAAGTGACCCCAGATACCTCCTCCTCCTAGGGGAAATTTGTGCCCACTCCTATTCCATGCCTGGTGGCTCCCCTCCCCCCCCCACACATACCTCATCCAGAAAGCACACACACCTCCAGGCTCCCACCTACCCCCACCCCTCTGGGTCAGTTTCCTGCCCCTACTCTGCAAGAATTTAAGACTTACCAGGAACAGAGAACACAGGGGTGAGGGTTCAGCTGTCCCCACCATCCCTGGTCAGCTCTTGCTCCTGTGAGGCCCTCCCTGGCTCAGAGACTCCCTTGCTCCTGGCTACACAGCCCTGGCTAACGACAGCCACTGCCACTGTTCCCCCATGGGACACACAATCTCTGGTCTTGGGGCGGGGGTTGGGGGGTGGGGGGCTTAACACTTTCCCTGCTTCTCCCCAGCTCTGCCCCTCTTGGGTGGCCCCTAAGCCTCACCAGAGCTATTTGTCCCTTTCAGGGTCAAGTCTCACTTCACCCTCCTTCCAAGGGCACAGGAGACCCAGGTGAGACCTAGGTATAATTCACAGTCCCGTCACCTGGTCCTGGCCGAGCCCCTGCCCCTAGGGCAGCCTGCCCTTGGCCCTTGCCCTCCCCACCCCCTATCTCCAAGCCTGCATGGCTCCTTACCTGTCTCAGCTCGGCCACCTCCTCCCCCACTCGGGGCGTCCTCCCCGCCACACACTCTTGGAGCCCTACCTGAAGCAGTAGCCGCCTCCTCTCCGTGTCGGTCGAGCCCCCGGGCTCCCAGCACTCGCCTGGCGCCAGGGCCGGGGGACGCCCTGGGGGCTGGGGGCCGCAGGGGGGCCCGGGTTCCAGTGCCTCACAGCACACCAAGCTCACGGTGCAGCCCATCCGGCCCGGCGCCGGGCGGGCCGGGGGCGGGGACGCGGGCGTCCCGCGCTGGGCACCCGGGTCGGCGGCGCAGCCGGGTCGCGAAGGCGTCACTGCTGCAGTTGTTGCATCTCCGAGGTAAGCGGCTCTCAGGTAGCCGCCGCCAGGGCGCATGTGGGGTGCGGCTCGGGGTTGCGGGTGTAGAGTGGACAGTTCTCCGCGAGGGCGCAGGACCCCCACCCACCCGGCTCTGCCTGCCACCTGCGCCCGCGGGCCTGGAGCCTCTTCCC